ATACTTTTGTAATGTCCAGAATCCCATACAGCATTTTATGGACTATACAGACTTTTCAACGATTACTTTTTCTTAAGCTGGCTGCACACTAGACTATTTTCAAATCCTAAACGATTTTAAAACCATGGGAGACCACAGACATGAAGACAGTTTCAACCGATTGTTAGCCTTATAATCCTCTGAACACACACACTAGACGATTCCAGCAGACCGCGAGACCACACACTTGATGATTGTAGGAACGATTTCACAGTGACACTAGAGCTCATGGAGACTCACGAGATCAAACGTGACTAGAGAAGATAAACAAATGGAGAACAATCGCATTGTCAGCTGGCTCTTCCGGCGCGTTCTGTTGTACAGTGAAAAACAAAGTATAACAAAGAATATGGGCGATGTATTCTGCTTTCTTGGCATTTTTGTGGCTGCCAAGTTTCAGCTATAGAAGCACGCAACATCCGGTAAGTGACGCTTGCTCGCTCTCATTGGCTATCGCGGGTATCATATCAGAGGCAGCCCGATCAAGAGTCGGAAATATCAAACATGTTTGATATTTACGATTTGAGTTCGGCAACGCTCCGTCTCGATCGGGAGCTGTTAAATAATCGTAATGACACCACACAATAGAGGATTTTTTTGGACAAAAAATCGTTTGCGACAAGCCTCAAATCGGGCCATGCCCCCCGATCTTTCAGAAATGCAAATCGCCTTAAAATCGGCCTTAAAGGGGTGGTTCACTGTTTTTTTTTCTAGGCTTGATTGTGTTTATGGGGTGCAGTCTAACATGTGTTAATGCTTCGTTTTTTAAAAAACGCATTAATTTTCACATAATTTACCTTTATTCGACACCGATCTGTCCCTTCTCTGAGAAACACCCTGATCATTTCCTTCTTTTATGAAGGGTGTATTTTGCTTTTAAGTGTATGCCAAATTATACACTACCACTATACATTATCACAAACACTAATATCAACTTGTCTTGTCCCTTTGTAAAACGGGTTGTATAACAAAGATGTATTTACAGTAATATGCCACCCTACCAGGCAAATGGGTTGAGGGTTTGTTTGTTCTGGTGCGAATACTTCTAGGTGGAGGAACATTTAGTTATGCATTACCGTCATGTGTTTGTCAGACTCAACAGTATTTAAACAATGCTTTACAGATTACGTGTCCCTTACACATACCTGTATCTGCACATGTGCCCAAGTTTAGTTTTTTTAGTTGGGATATGACTTCTGCAGATATGATTGATAAATTATTATATCATTTTGATAAGGCACTGTTCTCTGTACAACTGCTCCAGAACAATTGTAAAATTAACAGATTTTTTTTCTTACTGGTTGATGCATCTAAGGGTGTGTAGGAAAAAAGATGCAAATCTTTATGCAAAAAGATGCAAAGTTAATGCAAATATTTTCCATATTGCAAAAATTCCTCAGTACATTGTGAAAATTTAAAAGCCAAAAGTAACACATTATGAATAGGGCTGGGTTTTGACACAAATTTCACGATTCGATTCGATTCTCATTCACAAGCTTGCGATTCGATTCAATATTGATTATTTTGGATATATATCAATGGGTCTTTATACTATACATGAAAATATCATGAAATGCCATCTTTGTCTAGTGCAGTGTTATTTTATATACTATTGAAGTATTTATTATTATTTTGAATTGACTTTTTTATATTTTCAGTTTTAATAGTAGTTTAAGTTTTTGTAATTATATGTGCTTGTCATTTTTATTTAATTTATTTTTTTGTAAATGTTTCTATTTAGTTTAGTTTTAGTACCTCAATTTTTTTTCTTTCAACTTAAAATTAAATATAAATATAAGATGAAAAACGTTTAAGTACCCCAAATTATTTTTAATAGTTTTAGTTAACAATAACAACACTTATCTACTAATGCATTTCTGTAATTAGTCTTTAGTAGATTTTAGCTGGTTGTTGAATGACTAGTTGACCACCATGACCCATTTATTTCCTATTTATTTCCTGTTTCCTATTTATTGTTATAAACAAAGAAAGGCATAAATCAAGTAATCATCAGCCTTGAAATTGTAAACAACTCTGAATATTCCTAATGAGCCTTAAAAGATCATAGTCAGAAAAGATGCTGTTCAAAGATAGTAGGATACACACACATTTAAAAAAATAAATAAAAAAGTGATTATTGGGATGAGATGTGATTGTGAACATTGTGATTGTAGTGAAGAATGCTTCTGCTCAAGGTCTGGCTTTTTTGGGGAGGTTATTTTAATGTGAAGTGCATTTTGGTGGCTTTGCTGTCCACTAGCTTCAAATGAGGTGAAGGGAAGCTTCATGTGGCAGTTAATAAAGGCTACGTGTGTAGTTTGGATCCTCTTGTGATATCCCCCAAACACACACGCCCTTCTGTATATTCACACATCTAGACACACACATAAAACACACTAGAAACATACTCTCATTCTCTCTCCCAATGCTCAGCCTCCCCCCCCACACACCCCTCTCTGTCTGTCTTGCTCTCATTAGTGCTCTCATTAACACACTCTGGTCTACTATTGGTTAATCTCTGTCTTTAGCACACCCGCTCATATGCCTCGAGGTGCATGGCTGCCTCTTTTTTTGCACTCCTTGCCAAACATCCAAATGATCAACACAGACAGGTCCGTTTCCATGTGTGCTGACCTGTCAGCATCTCTGTACAGCCTAATGCATGGCATGTTGTTGTAGGTACTGAATGAACAGCAGTAAATACTCATTTTCCATCCATTTATGAAATGATTGCCCAAATACACTAAGCGTTTCAGAGAAACTGTAGGCAGTTTAATACTCAAAGACTACAGTTCTGCCAAGCTGTTAACCTGCATGTTGTGGTATTTGAATTAGTAGTGCTGCTGTGGATAATAAAGAATCTGTCTGAACCTTGTGTTCACATGCTTTGGAAGTGTGAATGTGTGTGATTCAATGGTGAATCTCACAACGAAATGTCCAGCTCATCTTTCAGCCCCAATACAGTGAATGTCATCCTTTATGGACACATTTAATTTTAAAAACTTAAAATCAGAAACTATTGAATTTTTTTTTTTTTTTTTTTTTTTTATAGGTGCTAACATGACTACCAGTCAAATAGTATGACTAAATAATTATTATTGAATATTATGATTATTTAGCAATATATATTTAACTTATTTTAACACGTTGAAGTTGGCTTCTTCCCTGGCTATCTTGAGGGGGGCGGTGCCCCAGCGCCCCCTATTGACCAGCCGCCACTGAGGGAATGTTGAATGGCGTCGTGTGGGAACGTAATGACGTGTGCCATTAATCGATCTATGTAAACAGAAACATGAAAGGAATATTCTAAAAGCAACTCATGTAAACACCTTAATAATATTGTCTTATACAGAATAAGGTAGGCTAAATAATTAGATTAAATGTGACCTGGACATGTTGACAGGTTTTGTGAGATCAATGCTCAAAGGTTTATTGAAATGTATTTATTTATTTGTTTATTGAAATAATATATTATGCTTAGTTAATATTTACTAAGCGATTTTTCAAAGATCATCCCTGTGTAAGGATATTGGGGCCTTATGAAATCCATTTTATTTAATTTTTTCTTAAATGTAATTAAATTTTTTCCCAAATTCAGTTTTTCCCCCAGTTCAATTTTTTAAATCTTTTTTTTATTTTTTGGTTTTGTTTTTAATATGTTAATTTTTCTGGATTCCATTTTTAATGGTTAAATTAAATTTTAGTAATCAAAAAGCATGAAATCATGAAACTTATACAGACAGATACTAGTATCGTTACATGGTTAAACTTGCCAAATTCTGTGAGGTTCGGCAGTATACTTTTTAATGACTGTTTCTGTTTCTTTTTTTTCTTTTTTCTTTTTACGATTTAGAGGCATAGGATATATAATCATTAAATTCTTAATACAGATGTTGATGTTTATTTACACTAGTTATATCAGAACTGTACTTTGTCATAATATATATGTACTTTAGTGTACACAGTATAACTGTATATGAAATAGTACATCATCTTTCAGTTTTTGACTTGAGCTGCTGAATTAATAATTATAATAAATATAATAAATAGTCTCGTTATACTACTAAATGAGCTCTTCACTGTTCAATACATTAATTGCAGCTCACAATCCAAAGCAGCTCGTTTACATGTTAAATTCAGGATGCATTTAATGCAACAATTATACTAGCATTATTAACACCAGTATTATATTGACGATGATTATGCTGTTAATCATCCGCCGCTTAGAGGTGAGTGAGGACGCAAGGAATATTTCAGCCTCAGGTCTGTCTGAATGTTTCTATCACACAGTGTCTTAGGAAGACTACCATAATGCAGTGGTTCTCAACCAGGGGCCTGGAGTCCACTAGGGGTCCCCAGCAAACTACCGGTGACCCTCAAGATTTTAAATAAGAGAAAACTAAAAAGATATATATACTGATGCTCCAGAAGGAAACACGATGCATTAAGGAGGTGTAAACTTTTTGAATTTGAAGATCAGGATAAATTGAACTTATTTTGTCTTCTGGGAAACTTGTAAGTATCTTCTGTAGCTTCTGAAGGGCAGTACTAAATGAAAAAAATATGATATTTAGGCAAAATTTACACATCTTCATTCTGTTTAAAAGTTTACATTTAGGTACTTACATGTTTCCCAGAGCATCAGTGAGCGTTTTAACCTTTTGTAATAGTTGCGTACGAGTCCCTCAGTTGTCCTCGGTGTGAAAATATGGATCTCAAAATCATACAGTCATTGTTGGAAAGGGTTCAAATATGCAAAAGATGATGGAAAACCAAAGAATTTGTGGGACCCGAAGGATTTTTCTGAAGAACAGCAGGCAGTTTAACTGTTCAGGACAAACAAGGGACTCATGAACAACTATCACAGAAAAACAAAAAACAGCTGTGGATCATCCAGGTAACAACACAGTATTAAGAATCAAGCGTATGTAAACTTTTGAACGGGGTTATTTTTATAAAGTCACCTATTATTTTCTCTTGTGGACTATATGTAAATGTCTTTTATGTGAAATATCTTATTCGCCATGACATTGTCAGCCACACTATTTATTATGTTAGGTACCACTGATGCAAAGTCCCAAGCCACATAGTTTCACAATAAATATTAAATACAGTTGCCCTAAAACAAATTTATTGCTACACAAAATAGACACTCTTGTACACCTATGTTATGCTTAAACAATGAATGATTGATTGTTTGAATGTCATTGCATTACATAATATGTGAATTTATGAAGTCAGTTCTCCTCGAGTTCACACGTGTCCTATCAGAGAAACCACTTGATTACATTAATTATGAACATGATTAACTAACATTGTTGTTAAATGGTTGGGTACTGTATTGGGTGTGATTTTTGTCACTTTATGCAGTATTTTGTTTCAGTTTAGTTGCTGAAATGTGTTTCTCAGATGGCGTATTGCCAGCATATAGGGGTTGAGTTCATGTTCATCAATGACCTGGACCAGTGTCAGTGGATCAGACAGAAGTTTGAGAGGCCTGGAGTCATGCAGTTCAGCCTGGAGGAGAAGAGAACACTGCTGGCTCGCATGGTCCGCTCCACCAGGTACACACACACTCACACAAAGGCCCACATGCAAGGGTACACACAGGAATACCTGCATTAAACCTTTTCTTCAAAAAAATCTGAATGTTTGTGTCAGTCTGAACAGACACATTACCAACTGTTTGTTCAAATTAAAGTCGATTTCACACCAAACATTTGACTTGGTGTGACTGTTGTAATGCGTTTCCCAACACTGGATGTGTTTAAATGGATATTTTCTTCTTGAAACCCATTTTGGGTATTTCCTGCAGCTCTGTAATATGTGTGTGCTGATTTCTGCAGGTTTGAGGAGTTCCTGCAGAGGAAATGGTCATCTGAGAAGCGCTTTGGGCTGGAGGGATGTGAGAGTCTGATCCCAGCGCTCAAAACCATCATTGACAAGTCCAGCAATAAGGGAGTAGACACAGTCATCATGGGAATGCCTCACAGGTAGAAGAAGAAATTCAAATGTGGAAAACAGATGAGAGGAAATGAGTGGAAACCAGATATTACAGCGACGTATGTGCCGTTATGGTGATTCAAGGTATCAGTTACAAACTCTCTTGCTCTTTCTGTCTGTCTCTGTAGAGGGCGTCTGAACGTGCTTGCCAATGTGATCCGTAAGGAACTGGAGCAAATATTCTGTCAGTTTGACTCTAAACTGGAAGCTACTGATGAGGTCAGTGACATCTATGTGCACTCATCCTTGTGAAATTAATCATCAGAACAGACATAAGAACCACTGCAATTGATGAAACATGTCTGTACCTCTACAGGGTTCAGGAGATGTCAAGTACCACTTGGGCATGTACCACAGGAGGATAAATCGTGTGACTGACAGGAATATTACCTTGTCATTGGTGGCCAACCCTTCCCATCTAGAAGCAGTGAACCCGGTGGTGCAGGGCAAGACTAAAGCGGAGCAGTTCTACTGCGGAGACACAGACGGCAATCGGGTGAGACATAAAGAGCATCAAACTAGGGCTGTGCCGGTATTATTATACACATTACCATTCAAACGTTTGGGGTTGATAAGATTTTTTTATTGTTTTTGAAAATCTCTTTTGCTCACCAAAGCTGCATTTAGTTCAGCATTTATTTTCAAATATAAATCTTTTGTAACATTATGAATGTCTTTATTGTCACTTTTGATCAATTTAATGCATCACTGCTGAATAAAAGTATTGATTTCAAGAAAAAAATCTCACTGACCGCCAACTTTTGAATGGTAGTGTATATAGTTTTTATTTTCCTCACCAGGGGTGCAGGGATGTTTTTCTGTCTAGTTCTCATGAGAGCACCTGGAGGTTTGGTGATACCCATTAAATATAACTATTAAAAAATAAAATAATTAATAATAGTAATAATAGTATTCTTGCACTTATTTTAGTTTATTTTTAAAATAAAATAAAAACAATAGTGTGATAATGCTGTTATAGATAAAAATAAATATTAAATTAAAATACAATTATTTTATAGTACACTTAAAAAAAATACAATGCTAATATTTACATTTTAATTTTTTTTTCTTTTTTACTTTTTCTTTTTTATAACTTTTCAACATTTTCAAACCTAAAATCAACAAGCTTTTATTTTGGCGGGTTGCTGGCAAGTAAGAATATGCGCTGCTGGTTTTAGAGCTGCCGAGTGAAGTGCGTCAGTGAATGAAATGACAGTTTTGTGTTTTGCTCTGAACCCGGCAGCACGTAACCTAGATTCATGCTTTCAGTATTAGAGTTAGTTGATCTAAAACAGTGAGTATGCATGCAATTAACAGCTGTCAACCATGATGAGCGGTCTGAACTTATTTACCCAGTGCATTTTTTATTTTGGTCGCACCTGCGCACCACTTATGTGCACCCCTGTTCCTCACAATATTGCATTAATACTTTGGTCCTTGTATAGAAATTGTGTTCATTCATATAATGTTCTAGAGTTCAGTTAATGAAGCAGGTCATCTAAATAAGTTTTAAAAATGATCTTTTTCATCTGACGCTCACTTAAAATTAATCTTTAAAAACACAAAAATTGTATCATATTAATAACATACTTGTAACACTGTTAAATGTAATCTTTAGCCAATCTCAAAATGATTATCGATTTTTCATACTGTACATAATGAAGACAATATTTTTTTTAAACAAGATTGTTTGGACTTCATTTAATCATTTATTAGTCATAACATGACCAGTGACATGCTGTCACATGTGGCTTATATGTATATGTGAGAATTTAATATCGGTGCATCTCTAGTGTCTTTAAGATATATTTTAAATGGCTCTGTTATGAAGAATTCAAATCCTGTTTTTAATTCTATACCCCTCGTAGAACCAACAGCTTTTAAATGTTCTTTCCTGTGTGTGTTTTTGTTTCAGGTGATGTCCATTCTGCTCCATGGTGATGCTGCATTTGCAGGTCAGGGCATTGTCTATGAAACCTTCCATCTGAGCGATCTGCCGTCCTACACCACACATGGCACTGTGCATGTGGTGGCCAACAACCAGGTACACGAGCACAAACAAACCCATGCGTGACAATACATGCTAACACAATGCATCAGATGTCCTCTTAATACCCCTCTGCATGTCCTGCTCAGATCGGTTTCACCACAGATCCTCGTATGGCGCGCTCCTCTCCGTATCCTACTGATGTTGCCCGTGTGGTCAATGCCCCCATATTCCACGTCAACGCAGATGATCCTGAAGCTGTAATGTACGTGTGCACCGTGGCCGCAGAGTGGAGAGCCACCTTCCACAAAGATGTGGTGGTGGACCTGGTGAGTGATAGTGTTTTGTGTCTTTTATAAACACGTTATTCTGACTTATTGTTATAGTTCATGACATCAATCAGGCATACGACTTCATTCCTTTAGGTATGTTACCGCCGTAATGGCCACAACGAGATGGATGAGCCAATGTTCACCCAGCCGCTGATGTACAAACAGATCAAGAAGCAGAAAGGAGTTCTGCAGAAATATGCGGAGAAGCTCATCGCCGAAGGTGCCGTCTCACGACAGGAATATGAGGTCAGACGGTCCTGCCCAGAACCAATCAGCTGCCTCGTATCTTCAGCTAGTCTTTCTGAAGTGTTTTCACGTGTTTCTTGTTCCACAGGAAGAGATTTCCAAGTATGACAAAATCTGCGAGGAAGCTCATGCTCGCTCAAAGGATGAGAAGATCCTCCACATCAAGCATTTGAATTAGCGAGAAAGAGAGAGAGAGAGAGAGAGGGATGAAAGTTGCGTGTGTGAACCTGCGTCTGCGCGCCTCTCTCTACAAGCAATGAGGCTTAGTTACTTCAAAAACAGCGATTTTACCCCCTCATCGCAGAGAAATATAACGGTGCAAGTTAGTAGCCTGTCGAAGCTATTTTACTAATAAAAGTTTCCGTGCTGTGTTGTCGTGTGCACTAATGTGTGTGCGTGCGTCTATGAAAGCACCGTAGCCTAGGCTACTGCATATAGTTTTAGTTTAGCTATAAGGCCGAGCCCGACCCGAACCC